TTTGCGGTACGCGGGCCTCTCACTGTTGCGGCCTCTCCCATCGCGGAGCACAGGCTCCGGACGCGCAGGCTCAGCGGCCATGGCTCACGGGCCCAGCCGCTCCACGGCATGTGGGATCCTCCCGGACCGGGGCACGAACCCGTGTCCCCTGCATTGCAGGCAGACTCTCAACCACTGCGCCACCAGGGAAGCCCTCCTTCAGTCTCTTCTCCAACTCTGTCTCATACCCACTGTCCTCCTCACTCAGTTTAAACACCTGGCTTCTTTCTCACAGAGGCGTGGCCAAAACATCCAATATAAATGTAGACCCCCGGGTTACGTGATCTCATAGCACCGTCTTCTTTGCCTTCATGCGTGCTCATAATTTTTAACCATGTTTCCAGTTTTATGTACATATATTTAATATCTGCTATCTACTGAAACAGAAGCTCCAAGATGGCGAAGAAATGGTATCTACATTAAGCTTTCTTATTGACTATAACATATATACAGAAAAGCACACAATTCATAAGCATACTGCATGAAGAATCTTCAAAAATGAATATGTCCCTGTAAATGTCACCCAAACAAGAAACACAACATTAACTGAGCCCCAGGGGCCCCTAAATATGCTCCTTCCTAGTCACCGTGGCCTCTATTCCGCTGAAGGTGGTAGTTTTGCCTCTAATTAAATACCGCATAACGGGATCTTCCTTTTTTCCCTGACATTAAGTTACTGAGGTTCATCCATGCTGTTACTGGGAGCCATTCCTTTTTTCATGGTTGTACAGTACTCCAACATATACATATTTCAGTTTCTTTGCCCATTATGCCTCTGAGGGGCATTTAGGCTGTTTTCAGCTCTTGGCTATCACAGTGCTGCGGTGGACATTTCATATCAGCTGATACATATACACACAGATCTGGGTTAAGTATATTTAAGGGTGGAAGTCTAGGTCATTCAACACAGGCAGACGAGACGAAGTGGTCGTTCCAGCTACTCTCCCACCAACAGCTTATGTGAGTTCTAGCTGCATCAAGGGATCCAACGGTTTACAGTAGTTTAAATTTGGCCATTCTGAGTATACAGTGTTATCTTCTCGCGGTTGAAATTTCATCTTTCTTATAACTCATGATACCTTTTTTCTTTGCTGTTCAAATGAAAGCATTTCTTTTTATAAATGTTTTTCTCCAGCCAGTGTATCTCTAATTGCACTTAAGAAACAGAATAAAAAAAAAAAGTCTGTATTTCATCTTGTGCCAAGTTAAAAGAATATCCAGTAGCTTCCACTTCCTGTTTTAGACTGTTATTACCATTACTTTATATTCTCTTGGTATAAAAATATGCTTTAAAAAAATCCCAAACTAACACATAAACAAGCAACACAGGTACCAGCATATCCTTATAAACATAAACACGACCGATGCTCACAAGTCAGGCAAGACAGGAATGGCATCTTGGATGCTTGATTCATGGATAGTGGCAGGCAGTGCAAGAAAGTTTCTGGAAAACCGTCAGTCCTGGTTTTCAGCACAGGAGAACCTCTCATTTCACGGTGCACGTTTCACAATATTACAAAACCACCACCTTGTCTACTTGATTAAAACCAGGGGAAAGGGACAATGTTCCTGGGGAGTGACAAGGCACAGAAGTGCCCTGGGGCCCCGCACGGCCAGCGGGCCCAGCCCCGCAGTCTGACCAGAGGCCTGGGACCCGCTGCCAGATGCTGACCTCTGCAGACGCAGCGAGGGTTTCCATGGACTTCAGGAGCGCGTGTCCCCGGCGTGGATAATACACTCTAACGATGATCAAGTGGGGGAAGTGAGCTCGTCTGAATCATGCGTGGGATCGGTTCCAGACTCAGTGGAACGGCCATCCTCTCCAGGGCCTGGACTTCAGGTGACAGGCTGAACGGCGGAGGGTCTTCCTCTCTTTTGTCGGTGCAGTTTCAGCCTCCTGCTGCTGCTTCTGCTGTTCTAACTTCTTTAATGTAAATGTCAATTGTTTGCTGCCAACCGTGGTGTCCGATACACCCAATATCCCATTTTTCGCTTGCAGTTTCAACCGGTCTTCAAGGGTTTTATTCATCACGATACCTTCTTTCGTGAAATGCCTGTTCAAGATCCTCGCACAGTGCTCTCTGTTCCATCTGTCTTTTTCTTCCTGACCTGTAAGAGTTCTTTATAACGCGCTGGATCCAAGCCTTTGTCGGTTACAGGTGCCACAAATGCATTCTCCCACCTGGTAGCTTTCACTTTCTTATTAGTGGTCTCTGATCAAAAAAGCATCCAAACGAATGAACCCAATAATATTTTCTTCCTTTATGGCTGGTGCTTTTCTTGGTATCCAACAAAGTTTCAAAGGGAGGGAATGAAGAGCGTCATCAGATGGTAAAATATTATCTGAAGACATAATAGCTGCCAAGTTTTCACAACTGATGAGAAACACAGTCTGAAGATTCAGGAACTCCAATGGATCCTTTAGGAAGCAGGAACAATAAAAATTAACCCACGCTTACATACATCATAGTGAAATGACAGAATGCCAGAGACAGAAAGTAGTTCTTAAAAATATCAGAGAGAAAAACACAGATCATCAGGAAGGAAAGAAAAAAAAGTAATTGAGAACTGACTGATCAAGCAGCAAGGCCACTGGAAGATACTTAAAACAGCTTGCAAGTGCTTAGGAAAAAAAGAACAGTCAGCCCAGAACTGTGCATCCAGCAAAAGTACAGTTCAAGAATGAGGATGAGAGGGCTTCCCTGGTGGCGCAGTGGTTGAGAGTCCGCCTGCCGATGCAGGGGACGCGGGTTCGTGCCCCGGTCCGGGAGGATCCCGCGTGCCGCGGAGCGGCTGGGCCCGTGAGCCGTGGCCGCTGAGCCTGCGCATCCGGAGCCTGTGCTCCGCAACGGGAGAGGCCGCAGCAATGAGAGGCCCGTGTACCACAAAAAAAAAAAAAAAAAAAATGAGGAGGAAAAAAAAGGTAAATTAAAAAGAACCCAATGGAAAAAAATTAAAAAAAAAAAAAAAAAAGATAATGAAGCAATGGTTTTTGAAGACACTGGACATGAGACAAGGAAAGACAGTGACCACTGAGAGATAGGAAACAACTGCGAACCCTAAGACTGCCCCAGCTTCCTGTCTAGAGCGAATTTCCCGCTATGTCAGGGGGAGAAGGAACCCAGGACAGCAGAGCTGGGAACCTAGGGAGATCAAGGGGCTAACGTTCTCAGGGAAGGGATGAGAATGGAGAGAGCTGCACAGACACAGAGCTCCTTGAGTCCTTAGCCAAGGCTCGCATACGGAACAACCGCCAGGAAGGGTTAGAGCAGTAGTTCGGAACTGAGGGCAATTTTACTCCCCGGGAGCCATATGGCTGTCTGGGGACATTTTTGGTTTGTAACAATTCAAGGGATGCTACTGCTGTCTAGTGCACAGAGGCCAGAGATGCTCCGAGGCATCTGATACCACAGTAGACAATCCCCTCCCCACCGCCAAATAAGTATCCAGTCCTCAAATTTAAATAGTTCCAAGGTTGAGAAACCCTGCATTACGGGAAACAATCCCCGAGGCTTGCACAGGGCAGGAATAGCTCCTGTTCCCACCAGTTACAAGGAAAAGCTTCACAATTCACAGGGCATTGAGGAGAGTTAACAGAGGGGTACTTTCTTAATAGCAGGAAATAATTAGCCCAAGATTAAATGCTGCTAAGATCTCACCTAACAAAGCTTAAAAGCAAGCCTCCAA